CACGCTCCCGCGAGCTCTGTGTCTGCGATCGCAAGAGCTCGGAGCCACTGCTTGAGCTCGGCTCATGATTCTTCTACTTCCCTGGCTATTGCCGGGAAGCGCGGGGCGTCTGATTACGCGGGACGTCATGATCTTTCCGATCAAAAGCGTCCACGGTGACTGGGCAATCTTGCCGAAGTGGCACCTAAAACTCCCACGAGTTTTCGGAGTCGGGATATCCCCGCCACTCCACCAGATATTAGGCTTGACCCTGGTGATGACGTCGTCTCACTAAACGTTCCACGCGATAGTAGACTCCACCGTTCTCATCAAGAAGAGTCGGTGGCGGGCGGTGACGACTAGGTCGACCGCTGACCGGTGACTCGTGATAATCTTCGAGCCCTTGAGGACGAGGTCCTTCGTGATCTGATCTCCGCTGAGCGTCATGCTGAAGTAGCATATCGCTGTGCGGGCGCTCTTGACAATTTAAAGCACGTCGTGCACCGGCTGCCTCACCTTGAGGACTACCACGCTCTGTCGGAGCGACTCCTAGCCGTGGAGCAGGCGAAGGCATCGCTGCAGGCAACGGTGGAGCGCCTGGCTCCATTAGAAATGGAGATTGTTGTACTCCGTGCTCAGAATCTGTTGCTGGTTCAACTTCTGGGAGGCCGCAGGCTCATCAAATCCGCTCCGGCGCCAACGCTACCGCGTTCACTTGCGCCGGATCCCAGTAAGGCTTGAGCAAGCCCACGTAAAACACCGGGTGGCTGCGCATCCGTTTCAGTGTGTACGCCAGGCCCCGTTTGACCACAACCTTAAACGGTCCGATAAACCGTGGATGAATCTTCGTCCGGAAGATAGCAGAGGATGCATGTGTAGGAAGGTTGTTAGAGTTTAATAAAATCAGGTCTCTGACCTTAAGGCTTTCCACTTTGCCTCTTCCTTTTTCGTCTGCATATACTTTCTGCAGGTCTTGGTTTCCAGCCGTCGTATCGCGAAGGTGTCGTAGGATACTCAGTCTGGTAGACAAGAAGTCATCAATTTCTTTACGGATGGTAAGGGGGCAGACATCAGCTAGTCGTTCGGCCATTCCTTCCCCACCAAGCCCTGAGCCATGGGATGGCGACGTCAGCGGGACGTGAGGATAAATCAGCCCGTTCACGTAGAACGGCGTGTAGCCGGTAGACGAATGCAGTGGATTGCTCAGTGCAAGCTCTACGAGTAGCAATATGGCGCTCCAGCGCCTCGGTGTCTCAGCGCAGACGCTGCGAAGAACGTCTTTGATGACGCGATTCACCCTTTCGGTTTGACCATCGTACTGCGGATGATCCGCTGTCGACATATCCAACTTGGTGCCGAGCACCTTGAAGATAGTC